AGATGGAGGGGGAGCTGGCAGCCAAAGAGGGAACAAAAGGAAACCCAACAGGTAATAAATCCGTAAAAATCTCAATCAACAACTTGAAATACCATTTCCAAACTCTCTCCTCCAGGGAGCTGTGATTACAGCAGATGGATGTGTGGGGCTGTGTGCTCTCCTCAGATGCACTGAGGACCTCCATCCAGGTGAGTGGGGCTCCTGTAGGCAGCACAGTCCTGGCACAGCAGAATGGTGGTCAAACAGCAAGAGGTGAAAGAAACCCCTTCTTCCTTGGCTTCCAGGCTGACCATTTGACTCAGCCCGAGTCAGCAGCACGAAGGCAATGTGCTGTGTTTCCTCAAGCCTTGTGGCAGCACACTGCACCAGGTATCTCAGCTCTGGGTGATAAAGTAGCTGTTAGCAAGAAACTCATTAATGAGTAAAGCTGGGAATAGGTGATTGATAACAAGCAGGCATCTGGCCACTTTTAAGGAGTCGCTAAGGCCTTGACCATTGAGGCTTTAGCAGATAATCTCTAGAATATCTCTAGCTGTGCCATGTTGGAAAGGCATCCCACATGCTGAGCCTTTGCAGGCCTTTGTGTACCCCACATCAATCCCCCAGTTCTCCATTGCTGCAGGTGGGTCTGTCCCAATTCTCCCTGGCTGTATTCCCATCATTAGATGGGAAATCATTCATTTGACATAATATTCTGGGAGAATGGAAAATATCTGGATACTGCAAGAACAAAAAGGGAAATGAATAGGTGAAGTATGCTGGTTGCTCTGAGCTGGCACTTTCCCACCTAAGTGTAGGCATGGTCTGACTGCTGCTGAGCTGGGTTCAATGAGCCCTGCTTCCAGGCTGCCCCTTCCTTACCCCACATGGGTCTGTCTTCCTCCCTATGCCTCCTCAGCCTGTGTCACATCTCCCTAACCCAAAAGAACAAAATTGTACCATAAAAGGGTATAGATCATTGTTAAATAAATAAATAAATAAAATATTTATGCTTTAAAGGCTTCCATTAGCTTTTCCTCATTGTTTGCTGCAGGTAGGGCAAAAAGATGCTTGGAACAATGATCCTTACTTGTGGCCTTTAAGAATCATAGACCAGAAATGAAATTTCATAGCTAAAAGACCAAATGTAAGGGAAAGGGGAGGAAAAAATGCAGCCCAGCACAGGGCCAGGAGAGCTGTGAGCAGTGAGGGGGCACAGGGCAGCAGGAAGCCAGGGCCGCAGCTGTTTGTCCAGGAGTTTTCTTGGAAACCCCTGGGACTCCTTGCTCCCGGCGTGTCAATGGGAATAAGAAGCATTTCTACAGTGCTGAGCTGACTGCAAAATCAGGGGTGGTCTGTTTGCTTTTTTTTCCCTTAGGGAAGCACTGTGGTCAGCCAGAAGTTCTTGGACAGACAGTGGGAGTTAAGTGCATGAAATCCAACACTCCTTGCTATATACCAGAGGTCAGGCCCAGGGTCCCTTCAGATCCAAAGCACAAATGCAACAACTGTTTCCCACCAAGAAAGCCCTCCAAAGCCTGTTTCTGGAAAACGTAGAGCAGAGGCAGAATGAGATGGGAGAACAAAGTCAGCCTAATGGACACAAAGCTCTGCAAGTCGACATCTGATGTCAGTGCTTATGGACACCAAGGCTTGGCTCAGCTGCAGGGCCCAGCAGTGGCAGCCCAGGGTGCTGGTCCTTGTCTGACCCCGCTGTGTTTCACATGCTGTTCTCCTCTGGGCTGAGCCAGCTCATCCCGCTCGAAACTCTGACTGAAAACATCATCTAAAAACAGCTCCTCGTGCTGGTGCCCAGGGGGGAGGAGAAGAACTCAGCAGGCACAGATGGAGCTGCAATAAATAGCGGAGCCGACGGGACGGGGTGGGATCTCACACTGACAGCAGCAGCTCTGCATGAGTTGGGATGCAGGATGTGCAACTGCTATGCACCCTGCGCGTGGCTGTGGTCAACTCACAGCTCCTCTGCATCCAGGGCTTGGAGCTGGCAATGAATGCTACAAGAGTATCATGGTGTTCTTACTACCAACTAAATAAGCTTTCCTGTGGTTGAAAACCATTCATTTTTTCTTTAAAGCTTCATATATCAGCTAGACACAGAATTAAACAAACAAACAACCCGGGACATCTAAAATGCTGTGTTTACACTTCTCTTTGGAGGAGCTCAACTGTTCTCTGCTCAGATGCAAATAAGGCGTATTTCCACTCTATGTATTTTTGGTCAGAATGAAGAGATAAATAGTGCACTCCAAGCGTCACGCTTCCAACCGGCTCCAGCTTACTTTGGTCAAGAAAACTTCGCACAGAACACCAGCACATTTTGAGCCTGAACTGTAATTCTCCTGGCAGGAATTTATTGCTAATCGAGCCTATCTGCAGCATGGGAACCAACAAGTGAGGGCCAAAACCGAGGCTGTCAGACTCACTTCACTTACTGGTTATGAAATGGGACAAAACAGCCCCAGAGTCACACGGAAACATGAGCATGGTGGTGACACGGCCTTTCATGCACAGCGTCAGCACTAAAAACAGCATATAGATGGTTTGGGAAGTTATAAACACCGACCTCATGATTCTATTCTGGGTTGGTCCTATGACAAAAGGGGAAAAAAATAACCGAACGAAAACAGCAACAACAAAAATCCAATGGAAGATAAGAGCCCAAAGCAATGGACAGCATGGCTGTGGGATGGGAGCTGGCAGCACTGACTGACACCAGCACAGCTGCAGCCCCACAGTGCTTCAGAGCTCCCCTTCTTCTTCCTCTTCTTAATTATTGTGACTTTTTAATTAAACAGCCGTTGTCAGGTTACTCATGCCGTGCCCCTATCTAGCCTCCCATGACCAAAGTTTGCATGGATACTGAGAATGGCTCTTCCTCATCTTCAGCATGTCAGACTTTTTCGGTTGATCTCAAGTCTACCTCCAGACATCTCCCAAGTATGGTGTGGGGCCGATCTGCCCCAGACAGCCCTGCAGGAGGCCTGGATGGGACTCTGTGGGGCAGATGCAGAAGTGCAGCCCCAGCTGCACCTGCCCTCCTCCGCCCTATGCCTCCATCCACCAATCCATTGATTATTAAGCAGCATTGATCTGCAAATGTGGGACTGAAAGGCCTTTGAGAGACGAGCGACAAATTGTTTAGAAGCCAAAAAATATCCATGAGATAATTTTCAGTGGAAAAAAATGGAGAAAAGCCCCCTGTACCTTAAGTGCAATATAAATTCTTATCAGTGAGTGTTTTGATGTAGTTTTAACCTCTGAATTAAGAGCTACAATTCAAAAGACATCTGCTAACTGATGATTCTGCAAAACCAGAAGTGCATCGCCTGCATTCAAATGAGCGCAAAAAAAGCACAAGCACATCTGGTTTCGTGAATCAGATCAGAACAAAAACTGTTCTTTGTTGCTGCTGGTTTTGCCAGCAGTGGAGATGAAGGTGAGTGAAAAGCAGAGCAGATGAGACCTCTGAGGGTCGGGGCATGCAGACATTCCCTGTGCAGAGTTGGCTCACCCCCAGCTGGGGTGATGTGCTGGGGTGATGTGCTTGTGCATCAGCACACAGAACTACTCCTGTCTTTTCCACACAAGAAAAAAATATCAGCTTCAGCCCTGAGTCCAGAGATGCTCCTCTGGCCCTGGGTATGTTGAGCACATGAGAGCTGGAGCTGAGGGAGCCCTAGCTGTGTAAGTAAGGGGGATTTCTGCCAAGAAGGCGGGAGAGGTTTTTCTGTAGCTGGCCCCTGGAGAATGCTGCCTTTGACAGAAAAAAGTAAATGTAAAAAATCCATCCCCTGCAAGCTGGTGAAAGCATGGCTGTGGGCCACAGGCGTTCTGATGGGCTTTCTAACTCCCTGGCAAATGTCCCCCACCTTACTGCAAACAGAAGAGGCCTATTACGAGAAGTCCTCGTCCCCTCTCTTTTTTTTAATTTAATTTTTTGCTTGTTCTTCTACAGCACTGTCATCACATTGCTCAAGCAGCAGCCATGCAAACTGTGGCACTGATCCCTGAAGTGCTGCAGTTCTGACTTCCCCAGCAGTGCTGCACAGTTTTCCCCAGCCACCCTTTTCACAGCAGCAGAGATGATGCTGCCCAGCCCTGCTGCAGCAGCCCCCCGCTGTGCTGTGAGCATACAGTGACAAACCCAGCCTCCTGTTGTGTGCTTTGCAGGAGATATCTTTCTGCTCAGAAAATCACATTTCCCTCTCCCAGGGCCATTCCACCATCTGACCAAACACCTCCCTAAATTCAAGACACCAGGACTGAACTCTGGACCGGCCCTGGACAGGAGAATTATCCACCAGGGCCCAGTTTTCTCTTGCAGAATTTGTCAAGAATTGCCACCAGCTAACCTCAGCTTGAGAGCAGCCGCAGGTTGCAGTATCAGTGCTGTCTGCAGCCCTTCCACAGCTGGGTGTGCTCTGATCCAGCACCTGGAATGTGCTTCCGGAGCCATCTCCTCTCTTATCACTCATTGCGCCGATAGTCAGCCTGAAACAAGCTCGACCTTCTGATTGAGTTGAACTTTGGCCAACAGGAAAACACTTGTTGTAGCAACACAGTCAGGCACCCAGCTGTCTGCTTTGTGCAACGGGGCAGTGGGGTTGCATTAAGGCCCGTTCCCCACCGTGAGCACAGGGGAAGAATGGAAACTCACCAGATGTTGGCATCAGGCTGAGCAAGATGTGAGTGCAGGTGGGGCTGTCAGTTCTGCCTCATGCTTACACTGCAGAACACATTTCAAAGAAAAATAAGCTTTCCAAATCATTGAGGAAAAAAACCCCTCGTTTGTCACCTTCTGCCATCCCCATGTGCCCTCCCAAAGCCATCCCTGTGCTGAGGACACTTCCTGAGAAGGGTCACTGCTGATCCCGTGCACTTCATCACCAACGATGACCAACAAAACCTTGGGATTAAGGGAACGTTTCCGTGGCATTGAAAATAGAATTGGAAAGGAAAAGATTTAGTTGAAACAAACAAACATGCTCATCAAGCTGCCACAGGCCAAATTCTGTAACTTCGTGCTATATTTCAAACTTGGAAAGGAGAAACAACACCAAAACAACAGAAAATGGATAACAAATAGTAAGTGGAAAGCAATGCAAAAACCAGACATGCAGGAAAAACCACGCTGGAGTGGATCCAGATCTCCCCAGCCTTATAAAGCTGTTTTATATTAACGTGAAGGCGAATTCATGAGTTTGTTCTCTACCATCTCCACAGGATTCAATCTAGACAGACCTAAGTACTGAGAAACACTTTTTCTTCAGTGGTTCCCACCTTGTGAAGCCACACAGCCAGCGCACCCCTGCTGGTCCCATGCTGCTGCCGTGCAGGGCAGCGGCTGTCACACGAGATCTCGCCCTGCTCGGATGCTGCCGCAGGACAGCCCCGCTGCAGCACGGCGTGATGCCCTCAGGGCGGTGGGGACGCGCACTCCTTCCTGGGAACCTGCAGATGCATTGCTAGGCGCTGCCAGCTCCGAGGGGCTCCGGGAGGAAAGCAGCCCGGTACCGCTCTGCTGCTCCCTGCGGGCTGATTGCAGAACTGCTGTCACCCTGCAAAACCTCTGTAATCGTTGAGCGGGTGCCAGAAGCCTTGCTCATTCTGGGTAACTCTTGCTGTCTCTTTAGAAGGGATCCTCAGAGCCGCAGCTGTCTGCAGCCAGCATACGACACTTCTTTTTTCTTACCAACACCAATAAAGAAATGGTGCTACATGCACAACACACGTGGTGCCTTCGGGGCAGTGCAGCCACTACTTCAGTCTGGGGGCTGGAGTGCAGCAGCGGTGCCTTCAGCACAGATGTGCCTTTGCCTTTAGGGCTGTGCTGCAGCATGGAGCTCTGCACAAGGAGCCCTGAAGCACCCTCAGGAGGAGCACAGTGTTCAGTGCTGACTCTTCGGGTGCAGAGGAAGGAAGGTTGGAGAGCAAGAATTCTGCCCTTCAGGGCTCATCAAACAGCCACACATGAAAATCGCACCTTCAGGGCCCCAAACACCTGGCAGCAGGGAGAGAAAAGCACTTTTTGGTTTTAAAATGTAAGAACATAACAACATTCTGTCATTTGGATCACGTCTCCATGTCCATTCAAGTTTGGAAAGTTAAATATAGCCAGCACCTTATAAAATATTAATTGAAGCAAGCACCGCACTGGGACCCATGAATCACTGTGCATGTGTTCAATACTTACAAGTGTAGCTGTGGTGAGGAGTTGGGCTCGACCCCTCACTATGGTGCATAAGGGCTGGTGGGGAACCTGCTGCTGCTGGCTTACCAAGCCATAAACCATAAACCTGTCATGTGGGTGGGGACAGCCCTCAGGTCACAGAACAAGGCTCACAAGTTAACAGCACAATTTGATGCTAATCCGCAGCTCACGTGTCAGCTGTAAGAGTTAATGTTACAAGCAAAACGTCTGGCACAGACCCCAGGAAATGCTCTTCTTTTACCTAGTTGGTTTCTGTCTTCTTTGTGAGGATGGTTGGGGCTTTCTCCACACCACATTGGGGCTGCAGTGCTGAGCATCTGACTCATCCATCCAGGCACGGAAGACCTCACGCGTCCCTCCTCGCTGCTCTCAGCCACCGATTATCTCAGATCATCATCAGTGCTTTGGATGACCGAATAAACAGGATTATCCTCTCCCGGTGCCTGTTAAGTCAAAACTGGATGGTGATCCTATTAGTGGATCGCAGTAGCACGAGGATATCCAAGCAGGAGATTATCTTTTACTTGCTCTGCGGAGCTGAAAACAGCACTGGGAAACTTTTAATCTCCATGAAGGGGACAGTAGAGCTCACAGAAAGAAACCTGAATTCGTGACCATCCCCTCAGTCAGCTGCCTAGCTCAAAAAAAAGTGTCACGATCGACAAAGTCACACCATCCTTTCATTGATACAGTAATGGATTTGGGATGCCAGTGGAAAACATCTTACATGCAACGCCTCTTTCATCCCAACTGATCCCAGCAAGCCTTACAAGCGCCACATGCCAACGGCACGTGGGATTAACAGCACTTACAGGAGCCTGTCTGTGCTCCCACTGAGGTTACAGAGCAGGGGCACTCACTGCTGAGTCAGACATGGGCTGGAATGGGGCCAGGCTGCTGAGCTCAAGCCTTGCATTGTGCTGGAAGGGTTTGGGCCTGCGCCTCGTGCAGAACAACAGGGCAGGTTGCTGTAAGGCACAGAACAGCACTGTTTGTAACATCAGGATAGCTCACCCTTGTTTTTTCCAGCATTGAGGGTTAAAAATATTGCAAGTTGCAGAGGAGGAAATACCCGTATCTCAAATAAAATCTACTTAAAGAAATGATCTGTTTTTTAAAGCAGAATATCAGGGAAGCAAGCCAGCCATTCCCAACACCTTTTAATAAATGCATGCAGAAAAGTAAATTCCTTCAAAAGAAGCTTTGAAGAGTGTAATTAAGCATGAAAGTTACCATATATTAAATTATACATCTAGTAAAAAGAGAGTCATTAGCCCAGCAAATGGGCTGTTAATGATTTCAGGTTTGCCTCAGGCTGCAAGCTAACCAACCTGTGCTGAAGCAGCGGCTGGGCTGCTGCTGAGCCTGGCTGCTGCCACAGACCTTGCTCACTGCTTGACAAGTGTGGAACAACCAAACCTATGATAAGTCACACCAAATGTGACCTGTAGAAACAGCTGGCATTTGGGGCAGGCAAAATGCCAACTTTGAGGTGCTGGGAGCTCCTCCACGCATCAGACTCTGGTGTGCATCCAGCTGCACTCCCCCACTCCTGCTGGGTCTCGTGGTCCTTTGCTCCTGCCCAGAGGGGTCCCAAAGCCATGGGGTTCCCTGCAGAGCTGCCACAGCCCCACGATCCCCACAGCAGAGCTTTGGCTGAAGCCTGCCTGCCATCAGCACTGAGCCAGCTGCCTGCCCAGAAAGGGGAGATGTAGCACTGAGGGGCACCGTGGTGGGGCACAGTGACATGGAGACATGGCCATGAGGGCCCAGCTGCTCTGCCTGTTGCTGGCCAGCTGCTGCTCCTCTCCTCTCTCTGGGTAATTTCTCCTCTTCCTGTGGTGCAACCCAAAAGCACAGAAACCCATTTCCTCGCTGGGCCCTGAGCTCCACTGTTGTGCTCCCTGGAGAGCTGCTCACGGTCTGAGCTGGCAGAGCACTCTCCCTGAGCAGAAGTGGTGTGAACACAGCACACCGTGGGACGGTCCAACAGCAGAATGAGACTCTGTTTGATTTAAGGAAGCTCTGCTGTCACTATTTCGTAACGAGCAGTTCTGGTTAGTTCCAACTTTTTTCAAATAAAACAAAGAGGCGTTTCCCTCTTTTACAGCTCACATGATCGAAGGGCCAGGATTTGCATTTCCACATAAGAATAAATTGGATCATGTCAGCAGACAGTGGCACGACCCCCAGACCCAGCTCCCACCAGAGCAAGGCCACTTGCCAACTAAGGGAGGGAGTTTCTGTAGACACAATGCTTACCAACAGCACCGAGAGATAAAGTTTCCTTTCCTGTCCACCTTTCTGACAGCAGCATTCAAGGTACAATCTCAGGTGGCCTTTGGGACCCCATTTGAGACATCTATGTCATTCTATGTCAGATAAGTCACATGTATGGTGCCTGGTCCTTCCTCCAAATGCTGTTTTCTTCTCATGGTTATTCCTACAAAAAGAACATGGCTCGATTTTGGCAGCAGTTGCACAGACTTCAGGGTAAATATAGCTGCCGTTGACTTTCCCTGATCCTCAGATACTTCTGAAAATAAGCTTTCTGGCACCCACTGAGGAACATGCTGAACATCTTTAGTTACATGCCCCCAAATAAAAGGGACCTATAAGATCCTTACCAGCAGCCATATGAATTTGATTTGAGATCACACTGAACTCTGGTTAGAAATATTCAGGCGCAGTCCATCTCTCGCTCCACTGACTGCAGTCAGAATATCTTCAGTGTAACTGGAAAGCAAGATA